CTGCTCTCTTCAAACAATTTCTCTTCTTTGCTCCCTAGAATTCTCCTGGTGTCTCCAGGCTTTCCTCCTTGAGAGCCCGCTGTCCCTTTTGGGCTGAGCTCTATCCTGAGTTGGTTGGTTTCTCTCCCTTTCAAAGACAGAAACCTATCAAGCAATCATTAACTTCAGTTTGGGGGCAGAGGGTGGGGCCTGGGCGTGCCCCTTCCCCTCTGCCCCAGCCTGTGAGCCTCATGTTCCTCACCGCTTGGGGGAGCCCAAGACCTTCCCAGGAGAGCTTCTCAGAGGGGTGGATGGATGTGGTCTGTGTGTTGTGGGGAGGAGGAAAGACCCCTAGAGGCAGCTGCAGGGCAAAGTGGACAGAGCACTGGACCTTGTGTCAGGAAGAACTGAGTTCTAGTGTGGCCTCAGACACTCACCATCTGTGTGATCCAGGGCAAGTCACTTGACTTCTGACTGCCTCAGTTTCCTCAACTGTAAAATGAGGATAATGATAACACCTTCCCCCCAGGGTTGTTGTGAGATACGTTTGTAATGAGATAATGTTTGTAAAGTGCTTAGCATAAGACACTGTGCCAGGCACATAGAAGGCACTTAATAAATGTTTGCTTCCTTCCTTTCCTTCTTACCAGATCCAAAAAAGGAGAATTAATAGTGAGCCCCTAGGGGAAGACTTTTGGCTAGATGATCTGGGCCCTTTGGGACATAGGGATCATCAATGAATGGTGTGTATGTGTAGCTGCTGTCTGGTTCCTCTGAAGTTCAAGCCCTCTGGAGTAATTTCTCTGATAAAGGTAGAGAGGCCTGCCTTCATTTTCATCGACTTGCCTTCTAACACAATAAGGTACCACATATTTTGTGCCCTGAGGGTCCCTGCTACTCACCTGATGCATCATTGAGAGGGGCGTTGGCTTGGACCTCTGTCTATCTCTCTGCTGGAGAGACTGGGACCCAGGGGATGAGAGGAGTACCTGAAATTTCTGTACAAAGAGTCTAGGGAGGAGCAGGTAAGGAGGAGTCGCTATAGCACCCTGAGAGCTCAGACCCTCCCTGAGGAGTGGCCAGGCTGTGGGACTGTGGCCACAGTTCTCCCTCCTCCCCTCCTCCAGCATAGATTGAAAGCACTATGTGAAGCAGAGCCTCACCTGTGTTACAGGTGAAACCAGGACCTTTGTTCACCGCAGGCACCAAATAAATGTTGGTTAAGTGAACGAATGAAGAATGAATGGGAGAAGAACAGAGTTGGCCCCAGGGTCTGTCCTCAAGGGGACTTTTTGTTAAGTCCTCCCAGGCCCAGAGGCAGCCTCTGACCTCTTGCAGAGCTGCTCCAGCTGCCCTGAGCTCCACCAGCATGAGTTCCCAGGCCTCGAGTGCCAGGCACAGACAGAGCAGCTTAGTGAATGGGGAGAAGGAGCTAGATGGTTTCCCGAAGAGGCGGGACCTGGAGACACCGAGGGCAACTGGAGGCTTTGGCTCTCCTCAGCCACAAGGGGCACTAGACCCCAGGTTGGGGTGGTCCTTGGTGCAGGCACCCGAAGAGTGGTGATGCCCAGGGCCTGGAGGTCGTCCCTTTCCCTCCCCACCCCCACTCCCTCACGAACATGTACACACATTCACAGCCACACAGGAGCAGCAGGCTGATGTCTTCACTGAATGAATTTATTGGTTCTGAACGGAAGTTGCTCACAGTTAGTTATCTGACAAGGAATACATCAGATGGAGATTTTGTCCATTTTCCTGTGTGTGTGTGTGTGTGTGTGTGTGTGTGTGTGTGTGTGTGTGTGTGTGTGTGAGAGAGAGAGAGAGAGAGAGAGAGAGAGAGAGAGAGAGAGAGAGTGTGTGTGTGTTTATACATTGTGTTCCAAGTACAAAATCGGAAGGAAGGCTAACAAGTGGTATTGCTTTTGGTAATCCTCATGTCTTTGTGTGTGGAGGAGCCCCGCCCTGCTTGTACTGCCTTCGGGCTTTGCTGGGACTCTTCCTCGGTATTGAAATCCCAGCCTTTTGTTGAGGTGCCATAAACCTATACAGAAGGAGGAGGGGGGAGGGCATCGAGGGGAGGCAGGAAAGACATCAAAAGCAAAATGGACTAATTACAGTAAAGGCATGCAATTAACAACTGCCCCAGTCCTCAGTCACCTGCCTGCCCGCCAACCAGCCCTCAGCACCGTGCCCTGCCCAGCCCTTCCCTTCCCAGCCCAGCCCTCAGAGGCAACCTGCAGCCAGGCTAGACACTCACGTAGCAATATAAGCGTGAGTCTGGTAGCAGCGACGCAAGGTAGGAAGCAAAGGCCAACGGGAAGGAGGCAGGGCAGAGGAGGGCAGGGGGACCCAGTCCAAATTGGGGAGGGGATCAACAGACCTGCCCTACCCTGCCCCACCCTCCTCGGCGTTATGTACAGAGAACACGGAGTAGAAAAGAAGAGTCGTGACTTTGTCCTTTTCATAAAAACCCTGCAGCGCTGAAGCGGACAGTTCTGAGCACTGGCCTAGTGGCCAGTCTCCCAGCGGCCCAGGTTCAGCCCTGCCCTGCCCAGCCTGGCCTGGGCCCAGATGAAGTCACTCTTGGCCCGGGCTTCCAGGCCACGCGGAGCCGAGCCACGTTCCACCGAGAGGGAAACTGCCCCCCGGGCTGCCCCTTCCCCAAAGAAATAGGACTTGGTGTTCCCTCTCCACGGTAAAAAAACAGAAGAGCTCTCTAACAGCGTCGTTTTTTTAAAATATATATATATATATATATATATAATATGTGTGTGTGTGTGTGTGTGTGTGTGTGTCTGTGTGTGTGTATGTATATAGAAATAACCAAGAGCTAATAACGGAAACACAAAGTCCAGCCCGCCCCACCCCGCCCCGCCCGCCCCACAGCGCCAGGCCCCGCCCCGCCCCCACCCCTTTTCCAAAAACAACCAAGGAAAAAAGGTTTATAAAAATATCTTGCAGGAATTCTTTTAAAGTTTACAGTAGCTTTGTGTTGCCCTGGCCCTGCCTCCACTCTGATCTGCTGAGAGCCATTGTCTGCGGAGCCCCCAGCAGCCCAGGCCTCGGCCCGCGGCCAAACCCCGTACAGACAGACACCAAGACAGACAAGCAGACAGACTGAGAACACTGCCTCTTCCCTGAAGAGAGAACCAAAGAAGTCACGTAAATGAAAACAGCAAGGGATTAATACTGATCTCAGAGCAGCACCAGCAGCCACCAAGCGGGCTCTCTCCCTCCCCCGGGGAGCAGAAGGCTGGGGGCGGGCGGGGCAGGGGGACAGTTCAGTTGGGCGGCACGACCCGCCCCGTGTCTGGCTCCTCCGCTCCAGGACGTTCTGGGCCAGGCCAGCCTGGGCTCGGGGTGCAGCGGCTGTCCCTGCTCTGGTGCCCCCCACTTCCTCCACAGCGGCCAGGATGGGCTCTCTGAAGCCAATACAACGTCAAGGCCCCCTCAGTGAAATCAATGAACCGAAAAACAACGCAAAGTGAGGAGAGAGACCGAGAGAGAGAGAGAAAGGCAGAGATGGGGAGACACATGGAGAGGCTGGTGGAGATGCAAGTGGAGACAGGACAGCAGAACAGAGAGGAAAGAACAGAGAGAAAGGGCCTTGGGGCGACCGAGGTATCACTAACGCTGTTCCTTGGGGGTGTTGGTTTCCACCCTCAGGTGGGGGGTGGGGCTGCCCCGCTGTTGTTGCAGGGCTGACCTCCCGGCATCCAGAGGCCGCCCATAGCTATCCTCAGGCAGTAGGCGGGAGGCTGGTGGCTGTGCTGATCCCTCCCTAGAGAAGAGGTGCTGGGGTCCTTCAGTGGGCCTCACTGAGCTGAGCTCCACCAGCCCCACAGGCCATGGATCGAGGCAGGAGGGGGAACCCAGGGAAGATCAGGAAGAGAAGGGACTGGATCCGAAGCAGCTGCCTTCCATCCATAAGAGTCCTCCAAGCACAGAAGGTGTCGGGCGGCAGGTGGCGGTGGTGACATGTTAACTTTTCGGGATAATTCCTGGTATCAGAGTGGAAACAAGCCACGGCATGAGAGAGAGAGAGAGAGAGAGAGAGACAGAGAGAGACAGAGAGAGAGAGAGAGAGACAGAGAGAGAGAGAGAGAGAGAAGACAGAGGAGAGGAGAAAGAGCAGAGAGAAAAGAGGAGAGAGACAGAGACAGAGAGATGGTGAGAGGGAGAGACAGAGAAACAGAGAGACAAATAGACAGAGACACATACACACAGTCAGAGAGAGGACAGGAGACACAGGAGAGGAGAAAGAGCAGAGAGAAAAGAGAGGAGAGAGACAGAGACAGAGATGGTGAGGAGAGAGAGAGAGACAAAGAGAAACAGAGACAGAGACAGACACACACACAGAGAGACAGAGACAGAGAAAGAGAGACAGATACACACACACAGACAGAGACAGAAAGGAAGGAAAGACGGAGGAGACAGAGAGGAGAGGAGACACAGGAGAGGAGAAAGAGCAGAGAGAAAGGAAAGAGAGAGGAGAGAGACAGATAGAGAGAAAGAGAAAGAGCGAGTGTTCAGAGTGAACCAAGATCAAAGCAGGACGTCAGGAAGGTCTGAAGCCCCCGCTGGGAGAGAGTGCAGAGAAGTGGTGATGGGAAGAGGGAGGGGAAGACCAGATGCCCAAGCCAGAGCCCGCCATCCTCAGCCAGGGCTTTGCGTAATCTGTGCTGTCTGTGCTATGTGTCTGTGCTGCCTGCCTGTCTGTCTGTCTGTCAGCGGGCCTGCCTGTTCCCCTGCCTGGGTGTACAGAGCATAGCGCAACTATAAATCTATATGGATGTATGTATATTTTATATATATATATATATATAATATCTATGTGGTCGTATACATATACACAGTCCTTGCTCCTCCAGCTGCCCTGGCAGCAGTGCCAGCCTGCTCTGTCCGTCCCGCCAGCAGCCAGGCCAGCTCTCTATGGAGGCCTCAGGTCTTGCTTGCGGTGTTAGCGCTGTGCTTAGGGATAGGGGCAGCTCTACTCAGGGTGGGCGGGCGTTAGTGTATCTCTAGGGTTGCTCTTGGGTGGCGGCTGGTGCGGCCGACTTTGCCTTGTCTCTGCCGCCTGGATACTTGGCGGCAGGCGCCTCGGCCTCTCTCCGCTGGCTGTGGGCGCTAGACTTGGTTGGCGTGCCGGGGGGGTGGGCCACCTGCCCATTCTTCTCGTCTGAAAAAAGTTGTTTAATTACGTCAAAGAAGTTACTCAATGGGCTGCCTGGGTACACAGAACAGAAGACAAAAAAAAAAAGAGAGAGAGAGAACGAGAGGGAGAGAGAGAGAGGAAGGGAGGGAAGGAGAGAGACAGAGAGAGAGAAAGAGAGAGAGAGAGAGAGAGAGAGAGAGAGAGAGAGAGAGAGAACAAACACACGAATGAACATGGGCCTTTACGGGAAGGGAAGAAAAACAAGTGTGATGAGAGACCCAGAGCCAGGGGTGCCAGGGGTGCCAGGGATGCCAGGGGTGCCGGGGTGCCAGAGCTCTTAGAGACAAAGGGAGGCCAGCAAGCAAGGAGGGGACAGCAGGGCTCAGCCCACAGGGCCTTCCAGATCCCACCAAGGGCGGGAGGTCCTAACGAGGCTGCCAGATGAGGTCCCCAGGAGCTCCTAACAACTCTGCTGCCTGCCTGCCTGCCGCAGATGAGGGCACTGCCCAGCAACAGTGACTAGCCAGGGAAAAGGTGAGGTGGGGGATGCCAGCTGTTCTAGAGAGGCCTGGGGCTGGGGGAGAAACCATCTAGGTCTTTGGCCAGAAGGACCAGGAAGGAGGTTCAGGCCCAGGCCCTGCCAGCCCGGTGCCTACAAGGCTCAGACTTTCAAACCCAAAGTCACGCCTGGCATCTAGGTGGGCTGGGATGGGGGAGGAGGAGGAGAGAGGCAGTGAAGGAGGAGCTGGTTCCCTGGCTTCTGAGAACATCTACTTTCCCCATCGGGAGCTCCAGCTTTCAGAAAAGCATCTATAGGCAGACCTGATGGCATTCCCATTTCACAGATAAGGAAACCAAGGTTTGCCGATGGGGGAAGGGTGCTAAAGTCCCTTGCTGATAACCACGGGATGGAGTTGATGGCGGAGCATGGCATTCCCCCAGGCTGCCCATCCAGTCCGTCCTGCCTGGAGGCACTGGGACCCCTGCCTAGGTAGCCCCCGGAGGAGAGGGATGAGGGCCGTCAGCACCAGCAAGCTTTTGGCCAAGGTATTGGGGCATCTGGTGACGTTGTGGAAGCATGGCAGGGAGTCCTGCTCTGATCCTCCTCTGGGACCCCTAGCCCTGTGCCTGCTTCTCTCTGGTAAGCCCCTTCCTCGAGGCCTGTCTCAGCCTCGCCAAGCCCCAGCACCATCCACTCTAGGATCTTGTTATGAAAAAGGGCCAGAGGCCCTTGCTCTAGTCTGGAAGGAAATCCCCCTTTGTCTCCTCAGATTGGAGCACCTCCCTAGGGCAGCCCCAGCTGGAATACTTCCTGCACTCTGTGCCATCTGGGAGGTGGGTGGGACCTGGCCCAGTGGCTTTGGCCATGTCGCCTCGGTGCCAACGGATGCAGCAGACATAAAGAAGAGCAGAGGGTGGGGAGGGGAAATGGGAACAGATGAAGGAGCCAATAAGGGCAGGTGTGGTGACCCCCAGGAGGGGAGGGCCTTCTGGCCCAGGAGCGCCCAGGAGAGCCCCAAGCAGAGGCCAGAGAGGGCAGGCCACAGCTCCCACCTCACCCTTCAGGCTGGCCTCTCAGGCCTCCATGCCCTGGAAGCCCGAGCTCTGAGCCAGGAGGGAAAGGTTCCGGGCCTCTCCCTGGAGGCCCAGGACTGACCGCAGCCCCCACCTGCCTCTCTATGATCTGTCTCTCTCTTCCTCCCTGCCTGCCTTTGCCATGAGTTTGAATCTGGGCCTATCAGTACAAGAGTGAAAGTGCGGTGAAGGCAGCTCCCACTGAGGGGGCACATGCCAGAGCCCCTTGGAGTCCATCGATTGACTCCTGGAGAGCAGGGCTTGGGTTTGGGCCCCTTGGGGTCAGCACTGCCCCCAGGCACATGGAGAGGGGAAGGAGAGGTCCAGCCTGCTGCTGCCAGCTCCTTCCCGTCTCCACCACCCCAGACTGGATAGCTGGGGGACCCAGGCAAGAAGCCCTGCTCTGGCCTTGAGGGCAGCACCAAGCCCAGTGGCTGCTGGGCCTCCTATCCTGGGCTGGGCTTGGGGCAGATGGACAGGGATAGAACGGGCACTCTCGGGAGGAGGTAAGCCTTGGAGGGCAAAGCCCCTGGGAAGACCCTGGGATTCTAACGAAAAACTGAACTGCCTTCTCATCTGAGGCTTCCCTCTTCCTGATATCCATGGTCCCCCTCTGGTCTCAGGGCCCTGTTCCTGAGGACTGTGGGAGGCCACAGAGACCTGGGGCACTAGGAGGCTGTATGTGTCTGTGTGTGTCTGGGAGAACACCTAGGTATGTGTGTGTGCATGCGCGTGTGTGTGTGCATCTGGGAGAACACCTAGGAGTGTGTGTGCGTGTGCGTGTATGTGCATGCATGTGTGTGTGCATGTGTGTGTGTGTATGTGTGTGTGTGTGTGAGATACGGGCTGGGGGGTGGGGTGGAGAGGAAGGCAGGGAGGAGAAAACAGTCTCAGATTTGCACCTGGGGATTCGGGCTCCATCTATGGCCCATTTTCAGGAGAGTGGAGTGAGTACCCAGAGAGAGCCCAGGGGAGCAAGATGGGGGGGGTGGCCACTGCTTGCGTGGCGAAGGGCATGTCACCTCTCAAAGCTTCCCAATCTGTAGGGGAGGGACAGAAAGCAGCCCCAGCGAGGAAAAGCAGGAGTGCTGGGGGGCCGGGTTTGTGGGCCAGACTGTGTGCCTGGAGAGCAGCTGTGGGCTGGCCAGGAGGGTGTGGACTTGGGGGACAGGAGGGCCATGAGGGCAGAGGGAGGGGGGAAGGCAGGAGGGACATTCTTACCACATTTGGAAAGCCTCCCCGTCATCAATTCCATACAGTTAGTGGTGTCTGGAGCACAGAACGGAGAGAGGAGGGGGGAGAAATGTAAAAGTGGGTTCTTGCCGGGCCCTCGGCCCTCGGCATCCACTGGGAAGCCCCTCTGGGCCCTTCCCTGTTCTCCAGGGCCTCCGGAGCAGCCCCACTCTAGGAAGGGGGTGGCTGTGGCTACTCCTGCCCACATCTCCCCATTTCCCAGAGCCATTGAGATCTGCCTAAAGGAGGGAGGGTGGCATGGGGCCAGCCTCCTTGGACCCCTGCCCCACTCAAATCTGGTCAAGTCGAAGATGAGTAGCTGAGCTTTATCTGACCTACTATGTGCCAGGCACTAGGCTAAGTGCTTTACAAACATCTCGTCCAATCCTCACAGCAGTCCTGCTAGGTGGATGCTATATCATCACTCCCATTTTACAGATGAGGAAATTGAGGCAAACAGAGTCGAAGTGACAGCAAGTAAGTAAGTATCTAAGGCAAGGTTTGAACTCAGTTCTTTCTGACTCCAATCCCAGGTGTGCCATCTGGCTTCCTGAATTCAAATCTGGCCTCAGGCACTTACTAGCTGCATGACCCTGGGCAAGTCACTTTGCCTCTGCTTGCCTCAATTTCATCATCTGTTAAATGGAGAGAATAATTGCACTTGCCTCCCAGGGGCTGGCTGTTAGATTGTAGGCTCCCTGGGGCAGAACCACAGTTTTCTATGTTTCACAGGGTCCTTTTCTGCATGGGAAGGAAGCTTAACGTACACTTGGCTGACTGATCTTGGCAACACGCTGCCCTCAGCTGTGGCCCATCTCAATGCTGTCCACCATGGGCGCCCAAAGGGGTCTGGAAAGCGGGGATGCTGATAGACACTTGGATGTCTGGTTTGAGAGTCTCCAGCTGGTGACCGACTGAGCCCGGGAGTGCTGTGTCCCAAACGGGGGACCAAGTGTGGTCAAGGCTGGTGTCTTTGGAGAGTCTGAGATCAAGAAAAGCATTCTTGCTTGCGGTGGGGAGCAGCATTGGGTCCCTTAACACTCAGAATGGAACTGTGTCTGGAAATTTAAATTTCTCTCTCTCTCTCCTCTCCCCTTTCTCTTCCTCTTTCCCTTCCTCTCTCTCTCTCCTCTCCCTTCTGTCTCCATCTTCCTCCTCTCTTCCTCTCCCATCTTCCTCTTTTCTTCTCCTTCCTCTTTTCTCCTCTCTCTTCTCTCCTCCTGTTCTCCTTTTTTTCTGCTCTCTTCTCTTTTATTCTCTTTGCTCTCTTTCTGTCCTCTTTCCTCCTACTCTGTCTCTTCTCCCCATCCCTCCTCCCTCTCTCTTTCCTCTCTCTCCCTCTCTCTCTCCTCTCTTTCTCCCCTCCCCTCTCATTTTCCTTTCTCTCCTCCCCTTCTCTATCCTTTCCTCCTCTCTCTCCTTCCCCTCTCTCTTCTCTCTCTCCCCTCTCTCCTCCTCCTCTTCTCTCTTCCCCCTCTTTATCTCTCTCTTTCTCATCCTCTTATTCCCTCTCCCCTCCCCATTCTCTTTCTCCATCTTCTCCTTTAATGGATAGTTCTGATGGCCTTTTCTCCCTCCTCACCTTTTCTGATCTCCCTGCAGCGTTTGACATGGTTGATCACCCCCTTCCCTCAGATTCTCTCTCCTCTCTAAGTGTTTGTAACACTCTTCTCTCTTGGCTTTTCTTTGCTTTGTCTTCCTGTGTCTAACTGCCTTTTCTCAGTCTCTTGTTAGATCTTTACTCGGGGCCTGTTTGCTCTGTGTGGGTTCTGTTCTGGGCCCCCTTTTCTTTTCTCTCCCTTGGTGACTCCCATGGGCTCAATAATCATCTCTGCACGGATTCTTCCTCCTGACCTCCAGATCTGCATCACCACTTGTCCCTTGGGTTTCTTGGATGGGATGTCCCAGAGGCATTTCAGACTCAACATGTCCAAAACTGGACTCATTCTTCTCCTCCCCTCCCCCTGCCCCAGACTTCCCTATGACTGTTGGGGGCACCCAGGTCCCTTCAGTCCCCTCGGCTCCCAACCTGTGTCATCTCAGATTCCTCCCTCCCCTCAAGCTGCCAAGTCTTGCCAATGCTGCCTCTACAGCTGCCTCTCTCTCAAGCCCTCATCACTGAGCCTTTCCAGAATTCTGTCACATTTCTCTTCTTCATGCATTTTACAGACCAATTCTTGAGCAGCAGGATGCCCTGTTTCCCACCACCATACCTTTGCACTGGCTATTTACCCTGCTTTGAATGCTCTTACTCCTCCACTCCCCAGTTGCTAGGAACCTCCCTTCCCAAACTCCCTTGTGGTCATTTTGTATATATTCTGTATCTACCCCATCAGAGTATATGTTCCTTGAGGGCAGGGACTGTTCTTTTCTCCTTCCTCCCCACAATGGTCAAATCAATATTCCTAAGTCACACATCTGACTGAGTCACTCTTGGGGCAGGGGCTTACAAAGCTCCCTCATGCCTTCCTCCAGCATCAAGGGCAAAAATCACTGTCAGTTAAAGCAAATCTGACCACCCTGTCCAGACTGACTTCACGTGGCACTCCCTCACACAATGTCCATCATGGCCACAGTGGCCTCCTTGCCATGGCATTTAAAGCCTGACGGACCTGTCCAGACTGACTTCACACAGCGCTCCCTCATGCACCAACCATCACATCCATGCTGGCCTCCTTGCCATGGCCCATGTATGGCTTGGATGTCCATTGCACCTAGAATGCTTTCCGTACTCAGCTCCCTAAATTCTGCCAAGATTTGGCTCCAGGGCTGCAAGAGGTCACTCCTGATTCCTGCCCCGGGACACCCTTGTCCAGCTCCCCTGCTATGACTTCATATTGAATTAGATACATTTTACTGAATTGTTTGTATACGTATTCCTTCCCTCTGGTGAGATGTAACCTCCCTTCAGGCAGCACCTGGCGAAGTGCCTGGCACACAGGAGTGGGAATCACCACCTTTAAAGGGGCCAACCTGTAGGGGCCCAGAGGAAGCAGCTCCCAGATGCTCAGGGATGGTATGTACTGAGCCTACCTGTCCTGCATCCTTCCCTTGCTGAGAGTGAAGGGGACAACACCCACGTGCCAGGAGCTCTGAGCGAGGACCCCCCCCCCCCCCAGAACTGACCAAGAGTCTCTGCAGGAGGAACTTTACTCAGAAGAAAAGGTCCCCAACCTCCAAGAACCCCAGAGCAAAGAGATCTCTTCCTCCAAGGGAATTTGGCTGTTTCCATGGGGGGGGATGTGGAAGCTAATCAGGAGGCCACAGGCAAGGAGCCTCTGCCCTGTGGAGATGGGGGAGCCAAGCCCATCAGACCCTTGCCTGGGGCTCTGGCCCCAGATCTGAGTCAGTGGAGAGCTGGGGGAGCCCTTCACTCTGACTGTCAAGCTGTTCTACAGTCAAGACTGACTCAGCCAAAATAGAGAGGTGGCTTGAACAGCCTGACTCTGGGAGCTGAGGCCTCAGTGGACTGAGCACAACCATCCACAGAGGGAGGGCCCTCCAGCTCAGGTTGCTCACAAGCTACAGGAAAATGTCTCCTGCTCTTCTCTCTCCTTCTAGGCCAAGCTCAAGCCCTTGGTAGAGAAAGGAGAAGCTGCCTGGGAGGTGACCAGGAGAGACAGTGTGGTATAATGGGAGGTTGTTGGATTTGAGTTGCTTGAATAACCTCAGGCCAATTACTTCTCCTCCCTCTGCCTCTATATCCTCAAATATACAAAGGCAGGTTGGTCCTCTGAGCTATGCACTCATGAGTCACACCAAATGACAAGACTGGGTTCTCTGGATGACAGCTGAAGTCCTAGAATGATGAGCTCCTGGCAAAGGGCAGGTTGAATCTCAGAGCTGAGAGACTCATGAATTTGAACAGGAGAGAAATCTGTCCCAACAGCTCTAAGACTGGATGACACAGAGGACATCTGCTGTGTGAGAGAAGGACCAGTAATAGGGGAAGGGGTGCCCAATGAGCCATAGGAGGAAGGGTTAGGGGAGGGTGGCCTCATGGAGGAGCTTGGGAGCAGCCAAGTGAGCCTGAAGCTTGAACATGAGGAGCCAAAAGCCAAAGCACTGTGCTCAGTGCTGGGGTGAGAAACATGGCTAGAACACAGAGGTGTCAGCATTTGTTCAAAGATAAATGAGGTGCTAAGAGGGTGATGGGGTCTCACAGCCAGTTGAGAAGATGTCCATCTGTTTGCACATCCTTATACCTGAGGGGGAGTATGGTGGAGACTGTTTGGGTGAGGATGCCTGGAAAGGGAGTCAGAAATGACAAGACTTATGGAGCAGATGGAGACTATGGATGATGCTTCTCTAGCACCAGGACCTAAACTGGCCCAAGTGAGAAACACAGTAGTATGGGATAGTGTGAACTATTAAGATGCCATCTGCAATAGTCTCATTGTTGTCACTTCACTGACAGGTCATTCTTCATCGATGAAGGCATCTGCTACTCTGGCCTCAGTTCCGACCAAGGAAGGTCAGGAAACCGTGGGGAGAACTAAGTCCCCATGTCATCTAGAGAGTTCCTAATAATCAATGAGGGAAGGGAAAATTGAGCACAATTGGATTTGGATCCTATAAGTCAAGAAAGCAGATTTCAAAGAGTTCAGAGATCCCATGGTAAAAGACTTTAAAGAGGAATAGAGATGGCTCTCAGAAACAAAATTCCAACAATGTGAGTACAGATGATCTCAATAAGAAAGTAGAGGAAGAAATATTTTTAAAGAGTCAGATGTGGCTGCAAAGGGACCTCTCTGATAAACTCTGATTCGAAGAGGACTTATGCATGAGCTGGAAGGAAGGGACCAAATCAATCGACAAACATTTGTTAAAAGCTGACTGAGTACCAGGCACTGTGCTAAGTGCTAGAGATACAGAAAGAGGCAAACAAAAAACAATCCCTGACCTCAAGGAGCTTATAATCTCCACACAAAAGACTGAAATGGATTTTTGAAAACAGGGAAGGGAATAAGCATTTATTAAGTGCCTACTACGCTAGGCACCGTGCTAACTGCTTTATGAATATCTCGGTGGAGAAC